ATTTATATATGTATATATATATATATATATATATATATAATTATTATTATTTATTTTTTTGTTAACATTTGCTTCATTTCAAGTAAAGACATTGTTCTTTTTATGGTTTTAGTTAATGATAATAACTCATAAGATTGTTATGTTTAAATGAACTTTTTCTTAAGACGTGATTTATATCACAAAAAATTCATTCAGGTATAATATAAACAACATGTGTAAACTCTGTGATCACTCTGAAAATGTTTTTCAGGGAGCAGACATGGCAAGCAGAGAAGAAAGAAGCGTTGAATGCAGTGTGTGAGAAAATCACCAGATTGCAACGTGAAAACGAGAAATCAGAGCACAGGTTGTTAGTTTTATGCAAGGGTTAAAAATCACATTTTTACATCTGTTTAAAAGGGTATTTACCCAAGAATTAAAAATGGTCATCATTTATGGACTCATCATCATCATGCCATTCCTAACCTGTACATTTTTATCTGTGAAATACAGAAAGGAAATTGTTTTTAGGAATGTTCATTCATTCTGTTTGGTGTTTATGATGTCAAGCCTGGTGTAACATCATGTTAGAATGGAACACGAGCTCACTTCTTGATATTTTTTGTAGAAACTGTGGGTTAGATTTAAAAAGGATGCATTAAATTAATCAATAATCAAAACTGTTACAAAAGATTTCCAATTCAAATAAATGCTGTTCTTTTGCATTTTCTATTCATCAGATAATCCTGAAAAATCACAAAACTCTTTTCAACATTTATAATAAGCACAATTATTAATAACTGAGCACCTATACTAAATTAGCACCAGATGCGTGACAATATATTTTAAATTGTAATACATTTTTAAAAAATTAGTTATTTCAAGCTTTTGATATGTAGTGTGTAGTACAACTTCTTGATATTTTTTGTAGAAACTGTGGGTTAGATTTAAAAAGGATGCATTAAATTAATCAATAATCAAAACTGTTACAAAAGATTTCCAATTCAAATAAATGCTGTTCTTTTGCATTTTCTATTCATCAGATAATCCTGAAAAATCACAAAACTCTTTTCAACATTTATAATAAGCACAATTATTAATAACTGAGCACCTATACTAAATTAGCACCAAATGTGTGACAATATATTTTAAATTGTAATACATTTTTAAAAAATTAGCTATTTCAAACTTTTGATATCCCCCCACCCACAATCCCTGCCGGTACAAGACTCGAACCCGCAACCTTTGGGTTACGAGTCCGATTCTCTAACCATTAGGCCACGACTTCCCCAATTGGATTTTTAATCCAATGCTGTTTTTCCACATTATTACCATTATTTTATTTTTATTTATTTATTTTGCAGCGTTTTGCAGGATATGAAGAGAAAAATTAACAATCTGAAGGACTATCACAGCAGTCTCATGGAAATGCTGAGCGACATGTTAGCTGAGCACTTCCCACTTCCTGATCCCCAAGGAAACGGCACAAAGAAAAAAAGAGTAGGTGCCACCTTCACCCTCTCAGTTAGATCAGAGAATATTGGATTTAGATTTTTTTTAGGTTGCTGCATATGAATATTGGATTTGGATTTTTCAGGCTGCTGCATATGATGCAGAGATTAACCTGATTTCACTGAGTGAGATTATCGAGGTATGTTCAGATACCCATCACAATAAAATATCTCTTTTTATATGATTACTTTGTTTTTAATCATCTTACCTGGAAGAACATTTGAAATAATAGAGTGGAAAATAAATTGTTTCCTGATACAAAGTGTTTTTTTTAATAACCCTATTTATTTAAGACATTTAATCATGCACATTTATCTTTTTATTGCAGAGATTGACCAATAAAACTTTAGAAACTCCTCATGACCCTTATGTGAGTACTGATGACACTTTCTGGCCACCATACACAGAAATGCTTCTTCGCAACGGTATTGCAACACGACATCCAGAAGATTGCAGTAAAATCCGTCTGGAAAATTTTTTTTGAATCTAAAGAGCACTTACCTGAATCTAATATGAAAATTAGATTTTGTATGTCTACAGTTAAATGTCAATGTCTATTTTTTTTCTTTCAAATTTGCTACATGTTTATATGAAACTTGGCCATTGTGGTATTTCATCGCAAATAGATGTATTTTTGAGTTGTGAGTCAAGTCCACAACTTAGAATGCATGTCTATCTTCTAAAGTGTTGGTGGCTATTTTTACTTTATACATGTCAAAAACTGATTTTTTTTTTAAAGTGATGACTTAAAGTAACCTAAACATACGTTATGGCCTCCAGTCGTGCTTCAATGACTTGCATGCCAATCTGGGTAATAAATTCAAAAAGGTTTACAAACCCACACCCTCACCACCATAGAATATTTAGACTATACTGCTCCAACATGTGAAATAAATAAACAATGCAAAAAACAAAACAAAAACATAATTAATAAAATAAAAACAATTTTGCTAGACTTTTCAGCCTGAATTGGATTCAGTGCTTGTTCGCTCCCTTGTTCGTTTTCAATTATTCCTTTGGCGCTACGCACTTGCAGTAAAAGGATTTATTTTTTCCTATTTGGAGCGCTACAATTTTTCTCATATTGTGTTAGAAACTGTACAATATACAGTCATCAAAATATCATCTCATAATTATAACATTGTCATTGTATTTTTGCCACGGTAATCTCCTGGCAACCACAGCAACAGGTTTTGTAAATTTAACATGAACAGAAAAAAAAAGTACCTTTAAAAATATTAAATGGAGTACAAGATGAC